ATTGGCCCTCCCCGGTGGTGCAGCGGGTTAAAACACTGCACTGAGAAGCTAAAGCCACTTCCTATTCCTGCCTGCTCCGGAGGTGACCACATGGCGAGGCAGACCTCTCCTGACCAGCCCGCTGCTCCCCTCAGCAGTGTACTTCGTTGATCTGCCTATTCTGCTCCCCACTCTGTCTCACTCGGTGAGAATCCTTTCGCCGCCCCTGAGCCTCTGGCCTGTACCCCAGTTCTGTATGCACAAATAAATAAATCTTTAAAAAACAAAAAAAATACATGGCATCTTTAAAAAAGTGTTTTTTTCCCCAAACTACTAGTAAATGAATTACATCTTTTCCAAGTGAATTTCTCACTATAGCAGAAAAAGGAAATCTATAGGGTAGCGAAAATAATCCACTGATGTCGTTTTAAAAAATCTACCCAATCCTTCATTGGTCATTTTATCCATTGTAGTTGGTAAAAAATTATTTTTCAATTGTTTTTCAGTTCCATTTTAAATTTGAGACATAAATTTTGTGGAGCATACACAGGTAGTAGACTATAGCTATGGATTTAAGACATGGGATTTTTTTTTTTTTTTAAAGATTTATTTATTTGTGCTTATAGAACTGGGGTACAGGTCAGAGGCTCAGGGGCGGTGAGAGGCTTCACCAGAGACAGAGTGGGGAGCAGAACAGGCAGATCAACGAAGTACACTGCTGAGGGGAGCAGCGAGCGAGTCAGGAGAGGTCTGCCATGCCATGTGGTCACCTCAGGGGCAGGCGGGAATTGAACTCATGTGGAAGTGGCTTTAGCTTCTTAGTGCTGTGCTTTAACCCGCTGCGCCACCAGGGAGGGCCAAGACATGGGATTTTAAGTTTATTTTTTAAAAGACTCTGAAGGGCGCCTTCACTACACTAGGTTCACACCCTGGGATTCAAGCCCGAGTCCATGTTACCAGATGCTATAAGAGGGTCAACTCAGTTCACCATTCTCTCTGAGAACTGCCGCGGGATCATTTTGCCATTCCTTCCTGAGACCTAAAAATAAAATATTACATGTTATGTTCAAAGCATTGCCTTACTCTCTCATTTCTTGAAAACTGGCCTGTAGCTTGTAAGGGGAGCAGTCACAGGAGTCAGTGGATAGACTCTGAGTCACCATGCTCACATCCTTTGAAATATTATTTATACAATTGAATAATTAGGCCAGAAAGGGCTTGGCAAGTGTAGGGATAGTAGGATCCTTGCTTAGGATCCACTCACCCCACTGGTAGTTCCTGAAGCATCAGAGAAGTACAGGCTTCACACTGCACTTTCCCAAGCTTGTCAAGAGCTTCTGTCAGCTTGGACACATGTGGAGGTATGAATGAGAGACTCCAAAGTAATACGGTTATAAAACTCATATATATATATATATATATATATTTAAATTTTTTAATACTTTTTTTGTGGTAAAAAAAATTACCATCTCAACCACTATTAGTGTGCAGGTCAGTAGTATTAAGTACATGTATGTTGTTTGTACAACCATTAGTATTCTCTATTTCCATAACACTTTTCATCAATTAAATAATAACTGGGCCCTTACTCTCAGGGGTCATACCCATTTCCCCTCCCCCAGTCTTCACTGTACTTTCTACATACATGATTCTAAGCACCTCATAAAAATGGAATCATATTTATCCTTTTCTGTATATGATTGTATCATTTAGCATAACACTCTAAAGGTTTGTCCACTGTTGCAGCATAGTCTTTTACAATGCTAGGTAGTATCTCATTGAATGTAGGGAGACATTGATTATCTTTTTATCCAACCATGGATACCTGGGCTAGTTGCACATATTGGCTAGTGTGACCACTGCTCCATGGATATGGGAATACAGATATCTGAGACCCTGCTTCCTTGAGTATATACCCAGATTATCTATTCATTTCACAAATACTACAGGATTACATGCAAATACTCAAGCAAAGCTTGAGTAACTGAAACCACACTGCCATTTGACATTTATTGGTCAATATCTATCCCTATGATAAAGATGAAGGCCATTTACATTTGCTGCTATAAAGACTTAGCTGTTTTCTCAGCAAGATGACTTGCTTTTCCATTACCTCATAAATGAGTCCCAATAAACAAGACTTACATTTAAAGGATGGCATTTAAACATCTTCTAAATAATTCAAGCATTGTATCAATGAGCAATGGCAAGAGTTGGTTTTAAATCTCTCCTGTAAATTTTGCAAAGTGTCGTGGGATAGGGAAAGCAGGGAAGGAAAGAGAAAACATGGGCACAAGAATTCTGTGTCAATTCATCCATACCTTCTTGACCAAAAATGAATCCTACCTTGTTTCACTTCATTGTATTACAACTTTATTTGCTGAGCAAAAGATTTTCACTGGATGCCCAAACTAAAGGCAAACTTAGGATGGGATCTACACACAAACAAGTTAGTTCTCAAATAGTACTTTTATAAGGCACAAAGTGGAAAAACAAAGTGTACCCGTGAACACACCATAATTGGGGCATACCGTGCTCCACACAGCCATGAGAGGCTCCAATGGTAGATGCGGTTCTTTCTTCAAGAGACTGAAGCTCTCTCTACTACCAATGCTCATCTTCACTCAGGTCTTCCAGGCTGACAAGCGGTGGTTAACACAAGACTATTGATGCAGGTGGTCCAAGGAAGGCTTTATTTAGCCGATTTTCCAACAAAAGGAAGAAATGGGTAGAGAAAAGCAGAGGGTAACCAGGAATCATATTTGCCTGAATTTTTGAGAAGATTGAAAGGGCAATAGTTTCTGGCCTTCTAGATCAGCCCCGAGGAAGAAGGAGTGGGTAACTGGAAGATTCTGTAGCTTCAGGAGCATTTTTATTCTTCAAATCTTAATTCAATTGTGATTTCTTCCGTGAAGTTTCCCTTAAAGACGCCCTGACTGGGAATCACTTCTCTTCTTTTTAATGAAGTCCTCCAAGTAGTACCACAAAGGACTACTTTATCTCTTATTTCATAAACATGTCTGGGCTTCATAATTAAGCTTACTGAGGTCAGACTCCCCCACTAGATTCACCAGTGTGTACCCAAACTGCCTTTACTGAAAAACAGCGCAAAGCAAGTATGCAAAAATGTTAAGGAATAAAGTGAGTTAATTTGACTGAAGATTTGGGAATCCTCAAGTAAGTGGCTAGTAGGGTTTACAATGGTCTTGGCAGGGAGGAGATAGGTTTTGGTCACAGCAGATCAAGCACACACATGGAGCACACAGTAGGTTGGGCGCAGCTTAAGATGGCAATTTGTGCAAATATTACGTTGGTATAAATAATATTTTTCTCTTTTATTTTACTGAAAAATTAAAGTAGGTAGGTCTACTTAGTTCCCCCATCTCTCCCGTGAGGATACTGAGAAGTAGGTAGTGATGCAGTATTCTGTTCTCATCTTCAGGTATTTGCCTCCTTTTACATGGGAGTGCCGGAAAAAAATGTTCTATTTTCACTGAGAATGTACTCAATTCTGAAATGAAACTCAACTTGTATTATTTTTACTCTTCATTTTGTTAAGAAATCAGTGTTTCAGAAAACACTTTGAGGTCTCATGTTAAGCTCATATTGTTATCATTAACTTAGTGAAGTCAAAGGGACTGTTCTGTTTTATGGACTCATTATAGTAGTGAGGCAGGGTGCATCACCTCACTTGAGTTTTGTGATATGTTTGATAGTGTTCTGTGAAGTCTCTCTCGTTAAAGTTGATTTGGCTTGTGTGGTAATACTGCTGTCTTCAATAGCAATGCAGGTAAATGAAGTTAATGATACATTACAAAGAATCATTTGGAAATTACGGAGGAGGGAAAGTCATTGAATTCCTGCAGGGATTAAAGACTAACATTATTCCTACTCTACAGGAAAGAAATAGTTTTAAAATACAAATCTATTGCAGCTCAAGCTGCTGTATTTGGGCTACTTGCCACAGAGAAACACTGGTGTTAAGAACATGTCATAGACCAGGAACTTCAGACATGCTGAGAAAAAAGAAACAGTCCAAGTTCTCTGAAGACTAGTGGCCTATAAGACAAACCAGGTTCTTGCTTAGTTGCTAAAATATACTTTCCAAGAGGGTGATAGCTTTTATTGTACAAATTATGTAAATAATGGAATGTACATACTTCAGAAATTGCAATCCCCCTCTGAAGTCAACTGAACATAAGCTCTGTATTTTTCATTTTTAACAAGTTAGAATTTTAGTTGTTTCAGAAATAAAAAAAGATGGCATGAAAGTGTTCTGTTTATTTGTAATCCTAAGAAATGTTCATGCTTAAAGACTAAGAGCAAAGAGTAGGACAAACTTTACAAAAGGGAAAAGTTCACATCTGCTGTTGAAAACTAGTTTGGTGAAGGCAGGCCTGAAGGCCCCTATCTCTGGCATGTTCAATATGGAATGCATAGCTGACTTCCAATCAGCTCCCAGAGAAAGGTATGTTACAATGACAGCCTTATCAAAGTCACAGGAGCTGGCCTCTCTAGGGAAGAGCATTTAGTTAAGTGATACTGAAGGGAAGCTCTTACCAGTTTTCTCAGAAATGATTTTCCTATCATGGGTATTTGGCCAATTGGTTAGGTCTCACATGGACACATGACTTCTAAAAGAATGTGCTGATATCTGCTAACATGTTTCAAAGAAGCACCCAGTAAAAGCTGATCTCTAAGTAAGTTTTATAGTTTTGAGGAATTTTTTCAGTAAAGGTGCTATTCTTTTAAGACTAACAGGCTTGTTCTCTTAGGTTGTTCAGAGTGAATTTACTATTGAAAGTTTACAGTAAGGTGTGATAAAAGATTCAAAAATGATTTTATAATACCTGGAAAATGAAATCTCATAATATAAAGTTTGACTCATGTATGATTAACCCAATCATGTCTTCAATAACTTGATATTTTTCAAATTGTACTTAGAAACACTACAGTGTACCATTTATTTTAACACTGATATTTTTAGGACAAACTTTATTAACAACAATTTTTATGTATTCTTACATTTTACACACTAGTTTTAATATTCACAGTGTTTAAGTTCAAATCAACAATTATTCAAGTCTACATGAGTGAAGAATGAAATGAGATTAGCTTTTTATTTAATCAGCTAAATTCTTTTTAATAGTGAAAAGTTAATAATGGGGGAATTAAAAAATTAAATCTCCAATGTTGCTGTTAGTTCAGCTACAGGTATATTGTTTAGGCCACAGGACTGCCCATCAGCCTTTCTTGTCGGAGAGCAATTAACCTCTTGAACCACTTTTCTTCAGCATCAGCTTTATCAATAAATAGCTGAAATAAAAAAAGTGTTACTGTCAGCCAATTACATTACATAATACAAGTCATCTTTATCTAATTTTCAGCACATCAATATCACTAGTTCATAATTTTATACACTGTATTTGTGAAGTTCATTTCTTACAATTTTTATGAGTGACACAGTAGAATAATGCTTGTTATGGTAGACAGCAAAATGTGATGTTAGTGACACTGTCAATGACCAAACTAGAGTGGAGTCAGAATTAGATATTTTAGTGTGAGATTTTAAAAAACTACAACTTTTCCCTTGGCTTATTTTTGTTAACTAAAGAAACAAAACTTCCAGAACATAAACTGCTTCCCTAATTACTTAACCTGGAAAATGAAATCTCATAATATAAAGTTTCATTTTCCAGGCAACACGGATTGCACCATGTCAGATTCAAACACAATTCCAAGGGCTGGAGGCCAGCTGCCTACTTTTAGCAAATAGGAGCTCACAAATTTATTTCTTCTACTGCTTTTCTTGTCACTGGTACTAATGGGCAACAATATGAATGAATTTCAATCAATTACACTCCAATTGTCATTCTAAAGGTTTAAGGTCCTTACGTTTGGATGGGCCAGAGAATTGTCATCTTGGTATTTGATAGCAGTAGGGATGATGTCTGGGTCAATTTCTTTTTCATTGCTGGGTGGATCACTGACTACTGACGCTGGCCCTGACACCACAGCCACGTGCTTCCCTTCATCAGGTTCTGTTGCCTGAAATATATAACACACTCAGTAGGATCACAGTACGCAATTAGGGTTTGCTTTAATAACATTTAAGATTTTGAGTAGCAATTGGTCAAGTAGTCTCCTTTGAGATGATACTAATTTCAAAAAAGCCTCAGGGTACTGAATAAGAAACAATTATGACTAAAACAAGCAAGCAACTACAAGAAGCATTGTGAAATGCTTTCATTTCTTACGCTCAACATATTTTTTTATAACAAAAACAGTACTTATGAATATATACCACTGAAAAAATATTTATTTCCATATATTACCTTTAAGTAGGACATTCCTATTTGGCATTATTTGGTAGGTTATATTTTTCGATCTGAGAATACTAGACTTTTTCCCATTTAAATTAATGTTAATGACTTTGATACTAACCTCGGCAAACCTTATAAGCACTTCGCAAAGAAAACTGTAATGTAATGGACTATGTAGGTAAAAACAGAGTGACTGCTTTATTTTTATAACAGAATGTTCTCTCAGCCACCTGCATATGTACAATCCAAATGTTGGGATCATTACTTAATAATGAGTAATTTTAAAATGTATGCGAACCATCGATCATTTCTTTCCTTAAGTGAGAGAAACTGTCAGAAAACGACTTAAAATCTCATCAGTCACAGTCTAATATTTTGGTTTTGAGTCGGGCTGCCACCTGGTGGTTCAATTTGAAAACATTTGTTTTAAAATACACTTTCAAGTTCAAAAAAAAAAAAAAAAAAAAAAAAAAAAAAAAAAAAAAAAAAAAAAAAAAAAAAAAAAAAAAAAAAAGCAAACGACCACACTATCCAATGTTATCCTTTTGAACACAGGTATCTGGCAGATCCAGCAATTTCAGGATTGAATTATTGGTGGTGAGATTATTTAGAGAAGAAAACTGCAATTTGGTTCCCTGAGGTCGATGATACAGCAGGAACTACCAGATTTTCTATCTACTTACACAAAAGAGAAATATGATTGCAGAGAGTTAAACCAGTTAAATCAATATGTGTGGCAGGAGACACAATGTCTATCATGTCACTGGTAATAGCCACTTTCCTGGTAACAGCTCCCTTGCTTAATTAGTGGAATTAACACAGCTACAGAAAGAATATCAACAAAAAGCCTCTTGCCAAGATACAAACTTTACGTCAATGTGTACAGAAGAGCAAAATGCTGAAACTTGGGCCATGACTTATTGAATCCTACAGAGAGTTATCCTTCGTCATGTCTCTGGGGGGTAGCACTATCACATCTCCCATGATCTGAGTAAAATGGTCCTCCAGATAATTTACCTCCCTTTGCTAAGTAATCTCCTGATAAATAATTCAGCTTCCTGGGCATCCCAAGTCCCTACCTTATACTGCATACACAGTCATTTAGAGACTGGAAAGGGATACCACTTTCTAACCTAATAAATTGTTCCTCCTTTTTATATTACAGTTGAGTGTGAATATATGCTTTTTTTTTTTTTTAAAAAAAAAAGCAGCTCCTCTTCTGATCATTTTGAAGTGCAGTAAAAGTAGTGCTTGATGATTGAAACTTTTAGAATACTGCATACTCAGTAAAGGGCATTTGGTGGCTTTATTTATTTATGTGTTTATAGCATGCTCCTCTGTTGGCCTTACTTCCTACCTACAGTGCATGTTTCTTTTATACTTCCACAGAGAATGTGTACTGAGTTTACAATTATGAGAGGCATTAGATAAGCAGGAAACACATAGGCTCTGAAGCCTATCTATACATGAATCCAGGAAAGCCATGTGTATAGCTATAAGGTACTTTTTATCTCTTTCCTCAGTAATAAACTAGGTCATCAAACTCTCCTCTCATGTGCAGAGAAGCATGAAACAATCCTGGCCTACCAAAGAGAGAATACTTGTATGAATGATTCCTCTTGAGGCCCTGAGTACTTGGTCAGAGAAGAGGTGGAGAAGGAAAAAAGGAAGGAGGAAGAGCAACAGCTTTCATTTCTTGAGTATTTATTACATATGTGGCACTTGGCTGACTGTTTTATATAAAGTATCTTGTTCATCCCTATAAAAATCTCTGCCACAGTATATCCCCATTTTAAGAAAAGACAGCCAGGGTTTAATGAGGTGAGGTAGTTTAAGGACAGATGGCCAATTAATGACCAAATGAGAATGTAGTTCCAGGTCTGTCTGACTCTACATCTTAAAGCTTTTGATCACTGCTGCCCAAACACTAAACCCAAGGTTTACTACAACTTGGCTTTGGCTTTAGAGGAAAGAAAAATGTTGATAAAATATACTAATTAAACACATTTCTCAGTGGTTTCACTCATGGTATTAGAGTAATAAATATTATTTCTAGGCTGCTTCTGCATCTCTGCCATGCTTATTCAACAGAGACCTAGCCAGCTCTAGGCTTTCCAGAATCGATTCTATTACTATAGTGCATAACGAGTAAAAACAGGTCAAGAGAAGTTTCTTTCAAAAGATAACTGCAACAGTAGATGGATTTTTTTTCACACAGATTAACGAAGATTCCATCTTAGTCCTGTTAGTCCCTAGTGCTGGCATCTGAGTTGGAGTGATATACTCACACTATATTGAAAGTGTGAGAAATTCCAATTAATGAAAAATTAGAGCAAAAGAAACAAATAATTAAAATAGTTAATACAGTGGTGCCTTTGATTAGAAATACAGATGAGATTTCTTTATATTGGTCCTATGGGGAGCCATTTAATGATAGCTGGTTTTGCTATAGATTTTAGAAAAAGTTTTCTTTTGGATTTAGCTAGTTATCTTAAGAGTAACAACCTATAGGGAAATAATCTTTAAGAACTTCTAGGAAAAGGCTTCCCTGTGGCACAAGGGAGTTATGAAGCTACCCGCAGCTACTGATCCTCTGCCAGGGAGGTGGCCCACATGGCGCAGCAGACCTCTCCTGTCCTACCCACTGCTCCCCTCAGCAGTGAATTTCAGTAGATATGTCTGTTCTGCTCCCCACTCTGTCTCTGGTGACTCCTCTCACCCCCCTCCTGTACCTCTGGCTTACACCCCAGTTCTTGTATGCATAAATAAATAAAATAAATCTTTAAAATAGAACTTCTAGGAACTGCAATGAGGCAAAACATTTTTAAATTGGAATTCAGATATATAGATATTATCCACTTATGAATTTCAAAAGACTTAAGGCAAAACCAGATGTTCAAAGAATTTATGTGTTTCTTAGCAAAAAATCTACCTGATTGGTGAACAAGAAGACATGGGAAAAATAGAGAAATGTGAATGGAGTAAGGTGTTGATACTTGGCACAGGTGGAATACTGAGAGTAGAAGTTTTCAAATACTATGCTTGAACTTAGATATCAAATAATGTAGATGTTAGAGTTTGTTCTTTAAAAACAAGTACTTATTAGATAACGATCCATATTTAGGTATGATAGACATTTTTTTTAAAGATTTATTTATTCAGACAGAACTGGGGTACAGGCTAGAGATGCGGAGGGTGAGAGAATTCACCAGGGACAGAGTGGAGAGCAGAGCAGGCAGATCGACAAAGTACACTGCTGAGGGGAGCAGCAGGAGGGCCAGGAGAGGTCTGCCGAGCCATGTGGATCTCCTCCGGGGCAGGTGGGGATCGAACTCATGCGTTAGTCACTTAAGTTTCTTAGTGTAGTGCTTTAACCCGCTGTGCCACCAGGAAGGGCCCATGATAGATCATTTTATTTAATCCTCAACAACTCTAAAACGTAGGTATTAGCAGCACTCTATTATGAACTGAGAAGCTGAGGTCCAAAGAGTTTGAGACATCAAGATCATAAACCACAGTAGGTGATGTGGGAGTCAAATTCAGATCTCTGTGAGTCCAAAGTCCATGCTCTTTCCATTTGCAAATATCTGTTACTGCCTCCAAACTTACACTATTTAAGTAACTAGTTTTTGGGGGGGAGGGGGTAAGATATAGTCATTTAGTATACTAATAGACAGATTATTTTCAAGTAAGTAATAATTATACCATGTCTTTATTATATGTATGATATTAAGTAATACAGGTATTTCATAGAAGAATGTCTTTTTCTACTAAAAGAATATATATTCATAAAAGCAGCCTTGATAATGACTGAAAAAAATACATCAAATATTCAACAGAAATAAAATGTCAAGCAAAGATCCCTTACCTAGAATTGAATAAATGATATCCATTTGGGCTGAGTATAGATATACACTACTCTGTGAGCATATTTTTAAAAAATTATTTTTTGAAACTAGATTACTACCTCACACCATACTCAAAAATCAACTCAAAGTGGATTAAAGACCTAGACATAAGAATAGAAACCATAAAATACCTGGAAGCAAAGATGGGCCAAACACTACACAACATACACTTCAGCGACATCTTTGAAGATAGAACACCCAATACAACAACAGTGAAGGAAGTCAAGGATAAATAGATGGGACTACATCAAGTTAAAGAGCTTCTGTACAGCAAAAGAGACATTATAAAAGACAAACAGACATGGCACTGATTGGAAAAAAATTTTCTCACACAAAACTAGCAATAAAGGGTTGATCACAAAGATATACAAAGAACTGATGAAACTCAACAAAAATAAACATCCCCATCAAAAAATGGGCAGAGAGCTAAAAAGACACTTCTCCAAAGAGGAAAAACAGGTGGCCAACAACAAGCATATGAAAAAATGTTTAACATCACTTGTAATAAGGGAGATGCAAATTAAAGCCACAATGAGATACCACCTCAGCCCAATGAGAATGGCACATCTTAAAACAACTAGCAACAACAAATATTTGTGAGGATGTGGAGAAAAAGGAGCTCTCCTGCACTGCTGGCAGGAATGCAAACTAGTACAACCACTATGGAAAACTGTTTGGAGGTTCCTCAAACTGCTAATCATGGATCTTCCATATGACCCAGCAATCCCACTCCTAGGTATCTACCCAAAAGACACAAAAACACTGATTCAAAAAGATATCTGCATTCCCATGTTTATTGCTGCTTTATTTACAATTTAAAAGACATGGAAACAGCCCAAATGCCTAAAAGTGGAAGACTGGATTAAAAAGATGTGGTACATATACACAATGGAATATTACTCAGCAACCAAAAATCAATCAATAAATAAACAAATACCTTTTGCAGCAACATGGATGGAGCTGGAAAAGATAATTCTTAGTGAAATAAGTCAGAAAGAAAAGGAAAAATACTAGGAGGCTTCACTCATAGCAGGAATATAACGAACTAGATGAGAGAATAATGAACAGTTATATACCAGAGACATTTTATGGGGGTGGAGTGGTGAATGGGATCAAAAACAGTGAGGGGAGGGAAATACACTGGACTATGGTGATGGCACATGGGTGACTTGGTGACGGGAATCCCAAGGGGATTAAAACTGAGATGGAAAAAATGCGGAAAATGATGTAAAAACTAAAAAACAAACAAACAAAAAAAAAACCAAGCCAAAAGCAATCCCAATTAAAAAAAAAACATTTTAAAATCCCTTTTCTAACTTTTTTTCTAGTAGTATCAACTCAAAAAGTAGATGTATACATTTGAAAAGAAAATTGTGTATTTTCATGATATGGATATTCCTGTTACAGAATTGCTGCATTGACATTTTTACTTTATTTTCACAGGGAATTTAAAAATAAAAATGGCATTGCTGTGTATGTTTTACAAATTAAATTTAAGCTGATTCTCATGGATACATTTTTGCTTTTAATAACATGCTGACTCTTTCATTCTACTTTATCTATTAGAAGAAACACATTTAAGTGAAATCTGTTAATAAAGCAGCCCTACAGCTGGACTGTAAAGGCTTACTCAGAATGCCTAGGTGAAAACTTACCTTTTTGACTTCTTTACTTGATCTGAATGTCTGCTGAACAAAAGAATCACTTTCAATGGCTTCAATTTCTTTTACTCTTTTTACTTGTTCTACCAGGGTGGTTTGGTCTAGAAAGGAGAGTATAAAGTTAGTATAGTTGGCAGATGAGCTTGTTAACAACACTGTCTCAGAAACTTTCTTTTGATGAAGTAATTTTATAATTTATGAAATTTCACTGGATAAAAGGAATTTACAGTTAAGTTATAACAAGAAAATTTTAAACTAAATTTAAAATATTACTAAGAAGGCTCTGTTTAATGATCCAAGCTAATCTGGGTTAATCTGGTGGGAGTGAGGGCTTTAACAGTGAAGAAAATTTTTATTATGGAAATACATATAAAAGGAATAAGAGTACAATAAATCCATATGTATCCATCATTCAGCTCCTATAATTACTAACTTTCGGCTATTCTTATTTAATCTAGCCATCTCCACTTCAATTTTTTGAGTTGACATTAAATATTTAAAAGTAAATCCCACTTGTTACCCCTAAATATTTTAGCAGACATCTAAGAGCTTAAGAAAAAACACCACAATGTAATTCTAATAGCACGTTCACATATAAATATACTATCAGTAATTCCTTATTGTTATCTTACATAGTCCATGCTTGATTTTCACTGATTATCAAACAATGTCTTTTTATATTCATTTGTCTAAAAAAAAGATCCAAACAAGGTCTACATGTTACACTTGGTTGATAAGTATCTTAACTCTCTTTTAATGAATGACAAAGTACACTGACATTCCCTTTCATTGCTATTTATTAAAGAAAATTAGTCATTTATCCCTTAAGTTCTTTTACATTCTAGATTTGTATGATTTTACCTTCTGGGTGTCATTTAACATGTTCCTCTATCCCTCATATTTTGTGTGAACCGATAGGTTAGGTCTAGAGGCTTGATAGATTCAGCTTCAATTTCTTTGGGTCAATAACACATCATAGATGGTGTATGTCATCCCCACTATATCCATTAGGGTGTGCTGTGCCCACATAAAGTCATGTTAAGATTGACCAGTGGAGCACAGAGAATGACAGCATGACCCTTCTGATAAAAGTTTTTAATCAACCTTTCATTGAATGGCTTAACAGACATTAATATTTAATATTTAGGGCATTATTTCAACAGAGATTGCAAAATGGTGATTTTCTGTTCTATTATCTTTTGCATTTAGTAGCTTTGAATCCTCTACAATGAAGAACTTCCCTTCTCTAATATTTGGTGACTATGAAATAGAGGCTATATTGGAAAGGCAAAATAAACATGCCTATTTTTCCCCTATGTCAATTCTGGTCCACAGTTGATCATTATGAGTTAATACATATTTCTATATTTAATGTGTTCATGGTAGTCAATTTTTTTTTTAAAGATTTATTTATTCATTCGTACAGAACTGAGGTACAGGCCAGAGATGCGGAGGGTGAGAGGATTCACCAGAGACAGAGCGGGGAGCAGAACAGGCAGATCTACGAGGTACACTGCTGAGGGGAGCAGCGGGCGGGTCAGGAGAGGTCTGCCTCACCATGTGGTCGCCTCCGGGGCAGGCGGGGATCGAACTCTTGTGGAAGTGGCTTTAGTTTCCTAGTGCAGTGCCTTAACCCGCTGCGCCACCAGGGAGGGCCCATGGTAGTCAATTTTATGCTCAAATTCTTTCCCCTTTGGAGAGTGGGAATCTCTGCAAGTTGGTTCCTGCCTCCTTTATGATCCCTACCAGTAGGGTGTTATGAGATGTTGCAGGCTCATCTTGTACAGCTCCTGTCCCAGGCCTGAAATTAGTCCAAATTGCTCAGACATTTACTGCCAATAACCAGGGTACTAGGGTGCTCACTGTTAGTGGATTGTCATTACTTAGACTTTTCAGTGGATGGATTAGGGAAGATTATTTTTGGAAGATGAAATACAAGTTTATACTGACATTAGCAACCAAATGAAAAATTATAGGATTTGATTTACTATTTGTATAACTCTTCCTTTATTCTAAATCTTGGGCCTTACCAATATGATCAAAGGCACTAATTTTTCCTAATATGTGAGTTGACTATGTACTGTTTTCAAAATAATCAAACAAATATTACTGCTAATCTGCTGAATTACAGCAGTTCAAAATTTCTTTCTGGACCTCTTTCATCCCATGCCTCTAGTTCTCTCCCAAAGTACAGGTAACCATTTTTATTAGGTCTTTGTTTTTAATATTTATTTCTGGCATAATATACATTACTATCTTACTTCCTTCACTTAACAGTATATTTGCTATCACTCCATAGCAGTAGAACACTTCTACACTATTCTACTTCATTCTATTTCATAATTGTATAGGAATTACTTAGAGTTTCAGGATAGTATTCCCCACCAATACTCTACTAGTGGTTACTTGTTTCCATCCTTTTGCTTTTACAACTAGTGCTTTCATAAATCATCATGTTCATGTATTGTTTCATATTTTTATATTTTCTTTCACATAACAGGTGGGAAGGAAAAATCCAACATTATGGTTTACACCCTTGCTGCTTAAACTTTACTCAGTGCTGATATATAAACATACAGTTGGGCTAGGAGTCACTATATACTGATCTAAATATATACATAGCTAAAAAAATGTTGGGGTTTTACCAAAAAAAGAAACACATGTCTTTTACAGTAACATGGATGGAGCTGGAAAAGAGCATACTTAGTGAAATAAGCCAGAAAGAAAAGGAAAAATACCGGATGGTTTCTCTCATAGCAGGAATATAACAGAACAGGTGAGAAAATAATAACGATGAACATCTATATACCAGAGACATTTTGTGGGGGTGGAGTGGGGAATGGGATCAAAAACAGTGAGGGGGAAGGAAATGCACTGGAGTATGGCGATGGCACATGGGTGATTTGGTGATGGGGAACCCAAGGGGAATGCAACTGAGATGGAAAAATGCACAAAAATATGTAAAAGTAAACTATTATACAATTTAAAATATATATATATATAATTTCTGGAGATGACAACAAAAAAATTATGGGGTTTTATACTTAATGGGCAATAGCTGGTTTTATATTCTAAAAAAAAAAAACTTGCAACAACTGGCTTGACAATCAGGTAGTTACTTACATTAAAGTAATTTTTATATCCCAGCATATTTAATCTGAAAAGGTTACATGTTATAAAGTATGAAGAAGAATTTGGTTCATGAACTCAATAAAAATCAACATTTTATGAAAAATCTTTGTCCCCACTTTTGGTCAATAATATATTATGATGTTATAGTCTTATGCAAGCTTCTGTTTATTTAAGAGAAAGATAGTATGTATGTAGATATGTCCTTTACAGCTTTTACAAATCTTTTCTCCTGAAATCAACCATGAAATGTTGAAGTAATAGTCACTGGAGTCCAAACTCCTCCCTTTGAAGGAATAAAGTTTCCTACACAAAACAAGTAGTCAGAATGTCAGAGAAGGACAAATGCCTTCCACATGCTTTAAAATCAAAGCTCCTGTGGATCTTAATCATAAAATGTACTAACTGAGCATATGAAAGAGAATATTTTTTGCTCTGCTAATTTATTATTATTAATATATCAGTGGATAATATTTTTATTAGTTACATGTATAGCAGTGTTAATAAAGCAGAGAAAAATTATAATGTATGCCACTCACATGCTCCAACTTTCATCTGTCAATATGAAGACACAGTTGGTTGTGTGTATTAATTAGTTTCACTAGGATTATTTCACATTCATTAATCCCCAGCCAGAAGACCCTATTCTGATTTCAGAATGCTATGTCATAGTGTCCACTGTTTGAACCCTTGGATTTTTTTCCCTAACATACTCTTTCATTTGGATTTACCAAGCACATCATTAGTAGTACACTTCAGAGGTGAGTTCACAAACTGTACCTGATGTCTAGAGCTTGCAGTGTTCATAGCTTTAAATACAGCTCCTAACACAAATCAAAATGTAGTCATAAAAGCAAACTAAAAGGAAAGTGTGCATAACAAAACAACATTAGAGAAATTGTAAAGGAAGGAAGGAGAATGATTAGAGACAAACAACACTATTTCTATGTTTCTTTAAAGATCTCCTCAGGATTAACAAAGCGACTAGGCATAGGGAAGAAAGAGTCAATCTGCCGACTTACAAAATGAAAATAAAACCAACACAGGTTTTACCTTTCAGTCTGGGGACCATCTTATAGGTGATATTTAAATTAAAAGAGTATGCTACTTAAAAAGAAAGTGATTTTGAATCTGAAATATTCATGGGAGATTTATGTCTTAAGCCTTAAAAATAGTTGAAATGCTGTGTGAAAACAATATGCGTAAAAAAAGTAAATTGCTTCATACTAAAAATTCTAATATTGATGGCAACAAATGTATGTCTTAAGTATAACCCTGTCACTCTGAGAAACAGAATAAACACAGCAACAGTATATAGTAAGTTATTTTAAATTTAGGTTCTTATGTGAGTTATTTAAAAATTCTGTATGAATTTTAAGATGGAAATATGTTAATTACAAGTTACCGGTATGAATGCCTAGTATAGATGCATCTTGTATTCATCAGCAATGAAGTAAAAATGAAGACAAGTGACAGCAAAGCTGCTGGAAAAATCAGAATTAACACTATCGTATTAAACACAAAACATATCTTCGGCATTTAGTGTTTTAGACAGATAAATAAAATGGTTTTAACAGGCTGGAAATAAAGTGATTTTCATAGGTTGTTTGAAAGATGCAGAAGGGATACATAGTTCACAATGAAATAAAAAATAATGAAGTCAGAAAGCTGTCATTACAGATTAAAAAAATCAATTCTTACTCACTGCATGCAAAAATCACTCTTATTTTTGTGATAAAAATTAAAATATTTTGTTAGTTACTGTGGATGTTATTTCCTTTTAAGATATTATCAAATGGTACACAAATTAAAGATAGCAAATAAAGACAAGCCCCAATATAAGTTATCTATTCAATAAGACAAAATTTTAGTCTGTGCATGTATTTGTAGATCACAAATAGAAATCAGCCTTTTAAATTTGAAGCAATGCTACACTGAGAACAGAAGATGGCACTATTGCCCAAGATGTAAT